TATATATATATATATATAATATATATAATATATAATACAATTTTTTTTTCCACGTTTTTATTTCAATAAATGGTTTATATAATGTGAAATGTTTGTTTTCATTATTCAGCAGTTTGATTAAAAACATCGTCACGTATATCGTGTGGATCAATCATTAGACATGTGACAAACGCAATTATCTTTTGAAACAAGTGGGGGGTGGAGAGATGGTAAGCGCCGGGTTGGAATCCCGTAGGTGGTAGCCCATTGGTACAATGTAAATTCACACAACTCCTGTGAAGTGGACCGCATAAAGAGCCCAGTGAAACACAAGATTCAATGCTGGTCACCCACTGCATTCTTGTATATTTATAGTCGTCTTGACTAAGTCTTTACATTGAAAAAAAGATTAAAAAATCATGGAAGAGAGAGAGAGAGAGAGAGAGAGAGAGAGAGAGTGAGGCTGACGAACTGAGCAACCCTCCCTCAACTTTAAACAATACAGACTCTAGTCAAGGCTAAGACTCAATTCGAAGCCTTGGTCATGTTCGCATGCAAAGGACGAACCATATATACATATTTTCAAAATAAATTCCACGCCATCTGAAAGATTTTCTCCATCATGATATGACAACAAATCAGTTTAAAAGAGAAATAAGATAAAACACATAATAAATGGTGGATACACGGAGCGCAATCTGCACTTATTGCTATCGATTATGCAACTCTTCCCGCATTTACACGCGGAACGTGTTTGCGTTGCACCAGTTAGTACTGGACCACAGAGATACTGAACTAAACCCTAAAACTGCACTTGCTCCCACTACGTCTCACACAGCAATTATACCACTCTATACCTCATCACAAGCATGACCTGTATTCTCTGCTCACTTGTATTCCAACGTGTTTCTAATAGTGAGATGAGCTTTAATACCCCCCCCCCACCCCAAACACTAATAATCTATTATTCATCTGCCTGATACCTTCACAGATACTTTAAGATAGGATAGTATGCTTTAATTGATCTAAGGAAGTTAACATTTGTTTTGATTGAATTGCACATATTATTTTTAATCTTGAAAGACTTTGAGTACTGGCTGCTCTCCAAAATTGGTCGGTGAATCAATGGTGCGGTCAGAATAGCTTGACTTTACGTTGGCCTTTTGAACAGAGTCTGTGCATCTGGTTCAAAGGGAGTTCATAGCTTGTATATATAATCCTAATGTCGGTAGCAAATTTTTCTTGGATTTGTTGCTTTGATCCCGCCAGCATATAAGATGACGGATCCATTGATTGTAAGATTGGGGGAAAAAAGGGGGGGGGGTGAATTTGGTTAAAGACTACTACATCCAAAAATTCCATTTAACCATTGTTATATTGTTATTTAGAAAAAAAACCCCAAGGTACTCTCTCCAAAACCAAATTCCACACATCTATCGTACCTTAATTCTAAAGAAAACAAAATCCTTAAAGGCATTTTAAAAAGCTGAAAATATAAGCACATATTTAATCGAGTCGCTTACAGACCATTCTGTCATTATTGTTAGCAACAATCGTAAAATTTAATTATGAATGGAGAGAATCGAAGATATATATATAATATATAGGCCTACGTATGTATACAGTTACACTTATTACTTTACCTTACATTTTATATATATATATATATATATATATACATTACAATATATTACGTTTCTACAGAATTATAGACATTTTTTGAAAATTCACTGTTGATATTATGGTAATCTGGTTAGTTTTCCAAAACATTCTGAATATCATGGGAAAAGTTTTAAAGATATCTAATCTATAGTGTCACAAATTGAAGGCCATCAATCAAAGAATTTTTTAATATTTTAAAACATAGTTTTATTTTTTTCCCCCCTTTTCTATGAATTCAATAAGCATGTGGTCTGTGGGAATACCATCAAAAAACCAAATCCATGTCCCTTCCAATAATTTTTTTGGAATATATTATGTTTTAGAGGAACTTCATTATATAATTTAAAATAATTCACGTGTTACCGATAACAGCTGTCTACTGAAAGCTTACATTTTTTATGAATCAAATTCAAATATCGAAAAGGTTTTCAGTATAAACCCCAAATGTTGCCTGAGAGGAAAGAAGACAGCGTGAGTCTTATCTATTCTTTAGAACAATTTTTAAAATTATTCCGCTTTAATAACATAATATTGAAATATATTTATAATCAAGCAAGATTTTAAGGTAGCATAAAATATGTTGCCTTTAAAAATAAAACTTAAATAAGATACTTTTGTTAAAATTAAATTATGTCATTTCTCTTTTTTAGTTTGGGGAACCACGGATAGGATCACTTTGTCAAAACACGTGACACTAGAGGTCAGAGTTCACAGAGTAACGTCAACGTTAGCACGAACAGACAGTTTAAGAGAGCGGAAGTGATCAAGATTTTCGTTTTATTAACTTCATCCAGTTATAGGCACAAAAAATGGGACATCGTGTTTCTCTCCTGAGCAGCACCTGCATGGTCCAATGCTTAAAGGGTATGTTTGCAAATTTTTTGGAAATTCCTAATTAGCATGAAATGAGCAGCAAGGGTTAAATTAATCATTAAGTGCATGTCTGGACAACCTAGGACCGTAGTAAACAATGAGACCTTTCAGTTTTAATCCACATGTGCTCATGAAGCCAATGCAATGGTCACAATTCCTAATAGCTTTAAATCCAATTTTAGAAATATACAATTGGGATTAAGCATATATGTTGTGCACATAATTCTGTGGAAGTGTGATCATTTGAGGCTGGACATTGTAAAAGTTTTCCACCGTTAATCCGCCATTGTAGACCCTTGTAAAATATTACCCCCTCCTTCCCTCAGTTTTGCCCAGGCAGTAGTAGACCCGAGTTATTGCCCTTGTTGTTATTGCATTCCTACGCTAGACAGCTCACGCAAAAGTCGTGATTTTGCATTCTCCTCCTCACATAGAGGGTAGAAGGTTGAACCCACAACATTAAAAGAGATTATCATTGGATGGGAGAAAAAAAAAACATTTAAATCCCCCAATTGAATCATCATCCAACTCAAATAAATAGCCGGGACAAATAAGAATCTGTTTTTTTATGATCTGATCACTTGACTGTGGACGCTGACGATAACTACACTTAGGACTTCATTAGCGTGATCATTAACTGCGACTGCAACCTAGAATACTAGTAAGTACGCAACCATGATTTTGATATTATGTTATTGCACTTGTATGACATATAATTATGTAACAAGGATTCATTCGTGATTGATATTATGTATTCTAGTGTTGCTTTTGCCGCGGGCTACGACACACCGCCATCTTATCATAGAGATGGTAGTTTGTAGTTCCAACTTGCCCATGTCTTTTTGAACAAGATGACAATATGTATATTATGTACTTATAAATTTAATGGTTATTAATGATTCAATGCCCCATACTTCATTAATTAAAATGTTTGCTTGGTGCAACATTGTCGCGAAGCAACATATGCTTAGGCCTACAATGACAGAACTTATAAATATATCAACACATTCGATGTATATTTACAAGCTATGTC